ACCGCAAGACATCGTTCATTTATCAAGTTAAAATTTAGAAAAACTTTTTGCTTGTCTTGCAAAACACTCCCAGACTAAGTTAGTTGCAATCCAAGGTTTTACTGTACCTGCATTTTACAGATAAGGGTGTCTGTAGGAGACAAGATCCTATGAAGACACCATGCATACAGATTTTAGAGCATATGTACTTTAGCATATGAGGATTTGTGCTTTTTTCCCTCTGGGCCTGAGCCATAGACCTTTCTGGGGGCCCCTACATATGCATATGAGTATATGCAACACTCGGGTAATGAGGAGAATGCAATTGTGTGTGTACAAATGTGAGGGGGACAGAATGGAAGAATCCCTTCCTTCTACATTATCTTTTCGCAGTTTGAGCTAAACGCTTAAACCAAACCAAACCAAAAACCTTCCATATTATTCATCTGAAATACTTAATCTCTTTCTTTCCTTCCTTTCAAGCTTTTCGGAAATGGTTGGTATCAGAACCAAAAACAGATTTCAGAGTGTCTCTACCTTAGCCGGTTGCTCCCCTTAAAATGATGATGCTACCTGCAAAGTTAATTGGGGATATGAAGAAGACTAAGTCCTACCTGAAGAGCAGGCAGGAGAGGTAAGATAGCAGGATTGCTCCAAATATAACCTTCCCCACCCACGGCTGCTATTTCAGGACTAATTCATTGCTCGCAATAACAGCAGAAGCTCCTGCCTCTGTTTGCCCTGCTAATAACACAGCATGTGAATCACAGACACATGGATTGTACCCCGTGCCAGATAAAATGCCCAGTCTGCCCCACTGGCTGATCAAACTCTTCTGGGCTGTACCACTGCAGACTTCAGCTGAGAAAACTGCAGATGGGACTGAATACTTGCTCATCTTAACAAAAACAAAGAGACCCCTCATAGATGCTGGAGAAAATGGCTTTAGCCTAGCCTTTTAAGTTAAGTTAGTTTTCTGTACCCCACCTCCAAAGAGGGAGCATTCAATCACAAACCTCCAGAAGGTTTTTTATATGGTTCAGTCTATGGAAAGATTAACCACAAATGGGTTTTTTGTGCAGATCTGAGCCAATATTGCATGTGATGTTATGCCAGAGGTGAGCAACTTAATATCCTCCAGGTGGTTTGGCCTATAACTCCCATCAGCTCTAGCCAGCATAGGTAGTGGTTAGAGATGCTCAGGAGTGGAGGCTAACACTCCTAGAGGGCATGCAAGGTGCCCTCCTGTGTTTATAAGCAAGAAGGAAGGGCATGAGATTGACTGCAGTGTGTCTGCAGCTCGATGCCACACGTCCTGCTGCCTTTGCACAACCATTCCAATGCCCCATCCAGTTCAGCATCCCGATTCTTGCCACGGCCAAACAAATGCTTTTGGGAAACCCACAAATGGGGCATTCAAGTCCTTTTATGGACATGCAGAACTTTATTTTCCCAGCACTTGCTGCTCTGATTGTCAGCATCCTTGGGACCAAGGTCATACCACACAGTGGTACTTGACATCCTTAAACCAGAGATGTCACAGCAGGCAAAGTTTATTCTCTACCACACCGGTGGCACCTCTGTACGGGTGCAGGCAGCCTCACAGCAGGCCCTGGGACAGCCTGGGAATTAAGCCTGGAACCTTGTAAGAGCTAAGACTTAACCCAATGCACGTCGCACACCGTGCTTGAGTTAGCAGCTAGCTTTTGGGGGTGTGGAGGGGGCCTCAGGGGATGGCAAAGAGGAAGCTGGGCCAGGCTTACTTCCTCCATGATTCAGCCAAAGGAGACTGGCAGCGAGTCCGCTGACATAATGGGACAGAGAAATGATGCAAACCCAGGAAAATACATTCCATCACCTTGAGTCTGTTTTCCAGTTTCCACAGTGCGTTGTAAGTGGAACATAAGGCCTTGCCAAAGGTCCATTGGGTCTAGTATACTGTCTCCAGATGTGTCTAGGAATCGTACAGGCAAAGCGGGACAGTTTGAGCTAGTTCTTTGATTTCCACACACCCCAGCATCCTTGCAAATATTCAGCCTCCAAATACCGCAGTTACATCCTTGTCTACCATGCCACACAGCCACTGGCAGCCCCATCCACCGTGAGCATCTGCATCCCACAATGCCAGGCATGCCTTCAGCTGGTACTCATGTCCTCTCCTAGGACTGCAGCGTTTATATTATTAACATTCGCAAGACACGATTCTGGATTTGGTGGAGGTTTGAGCAGGTCCAGCAAAGCTAATTCTTAAGGGGAGCTGCCACACTTGAAAGCAACCTTCCAGGGTTGTTGAACTACCAGCACCCACCATCCCCAGAAAAGACATTGCTGGCTGAGGGTGATGGGAGTTGTAGTTCAGCACAGCTAGATCCATCAAGTTCCAGAAGGGTACTTTAAAAGCTACCAGGAACTGAAGGGGGGGGGGGCATGTACTGTTTGCATACCTGCACATCCAGCAAGAGTTTCAGGAATGCTGGATTCCACCTGAGAAAGGCATCTTCCCCAGGTATGGTCAGAGCCTCTGGAAATAGTATTACAGAGCAGGGAAAGAAACAGATGGTCAACTGGACAAGGGGATGGGACCTGGGAAAGTTTGGAGGGAAGAAGTACAAAGCTAGGAAGATAAATCATACATATTCTAGGAGCACTGCTAATTCATTACAGGAAGGATGTAGCCAGGTTAGAGTAAGTGCAGCGTAGGGCCACAAGGTTGGTGGCCGGTTTGCAGGGGATGCCGTATGAGGCAAGACTGAGTGAACTAGGTCTCTTCAGCCTGGAGAAGAGGAGACTCAGAGGGGATCTGTTGGCGACATACAGGTATGTGAGGGGGTGTCACACGGAGGTGGGTAGAGACCTGTTCTCCCCTGCAGAGGAAGGCAGGACGCGCTCCAATGGAGCAAAGGTCAGGGAACCCAGGTTCCATTTGGATGCCAGGAAGCACTTCCTGACGGTCAGGGCCCCAAGGGTGTGGAATGGGCTTCTACAGGAGGTGGTTGAGGCCCCATTGGTGCGGGTGTTCAAGGATAGGCTAGACATGCACATGGTGGGCATGTCGTGAGTGGAGCCGGCTAGAGCCAGGGGTCAGACTAGATGGCATGGAAGACCCCTTCTGACTCGCTCTGTTTCTATGTTTATGTCTTCTGTGTTGTCCTGTAAAAGATAAAGCATGTGTTTGTATCTGAGTTCTCTACCATGAAAGAGATATTAGTCTTTTGCTTCTAAGAAAGCAAGGAAGATTATTTCCACTAAAAAAAGTAGTGCATTTTTTATGTTATTATGAGTACCATACACTGTTGACACTGGGCGTGTCTGAGTTAAGTATTGGGGGAAGAACAGGGAGGCCATTACAGGTAGCTAGTTGTGGAGGCCCATCATGGCCCTTATCAGTTACATGGCTGCAGCAGACTGATCTTGTGTGGTTATGTAAATTCTCTCTCCTACACCTTTCCTTTAAGATAATTTATTCATGATCTGAAAGTCACTTGATACTCTGTAGAATGGAAAATGTTGCTAGAACAGAGAATGTGGGTTCAAGGGAGTTCTTCTGCATGGCTATGTCATGTTTCTACTCTCTCCTTTATAAATGCAATCTTAAAATTCATATGCCTCAGTTTTCCCTTTCTGTAGTATGGGTTGCTGACTGTTAGGTATTCAAAAGACAGCTCTGCTCCCACTGTGCCCTGGCCTCCATCCCATCAGCCTCAATGACTACCAGCTGCCACTACATTTCTAGGGAAACCTGGGTGCTCCATTAAATTTTCAGGGGTTTCTCAAAGAGAAGTTCAGTAATTTATTTATGCTGTTAGCCATCCAGAGATGTTAGTAATTGGACTGCATACAAATTTCATAAATAAATAAATAAATAAATAAATAAATGTGAGCAAATTTCCTTATAAAATGGCTTGCCCTCCACATCTGACTTTCTCCTCCAACACAAAGCAAGAGATTATTATAGAATCATAGAACAGTAGAGTTGGAAGGTGCCAGAGGGGCATCGGGTCAAACAACTTGCTCAGTTCAGGATTCCAAGTTAAAGCATCCCTCAGATGGTTGTCAAGTTGCAATAGACTGTTCTAAAGCACCATATATGCCCCTCAAATTATCCAGACTGAAAGAGTTTATGACAGGCATGAAAATATAAAGAAAGAATTTCCTCAAAATGGAAAAGTTTAATAACCACTAATCTAGTTTATTGTGACAGAGCCAAAAATCTACTTGTTCTAGTATCAGAAACAAAATAATCTCTTACGGTGCTACAGGTCTCTTTTCCATGGTGCTGTACAAATAAACAGGACCAACCTTTGAAGTAAGACTAAATTCCCACTCCAACCCTCTGGAAGCATTATTTATGCATTACTTTGTATGCTTTTCTACAATGGAGCATCAAATATTAAAGTCAACAATTATTGATATGAAATAACCCCCTCCCTGGCACAACGTAGCAATATTTCACTCTCAAACACAGAAAAAAATAATAATTAAAATTGCCACACAGAAAGATTAGGCAAACTTCGCAATAGACACCAAAAGGCACACAACACTGAGAGGTGTGGCAGTTTAGGGAATTGCAGGAGGGCTTGAGAGACCAGGGTTCACATTCTCACAGACGTAAAAGCTCTTTAGATACTCAAAGGCAATCTCTCTCCTTCCCTCCTCTATCTCATAAGGTTCTCGCGAGGATAATATAGCAGGAGAGATGCATAGATGATGCCTAAGGTTCATTAGAGAAGGGCATAATTACATTAAAACAGCAGCAACAGAAATACTGTGTAGGGTCATGCCACAGGTTGTGTACAACAGAACTTCTCTAGCTCTGTGCGTGGTTTTTTAAAACCACAGAAAAGGGTATAGCAGAGCAAAAAGCCACCCCTCATAACCCTGAGCTAATTCAAAGTACAGCACGGTGGCTAAAGGACATTACAAGAACAGACGCACTTTCAGGACTTGGGTTATTATTTAATTTACTACTCCTTTCGGGGAGATCTGCCAGCTGGACCCGCGTACAAAAGACACGCACTTACGATCGTACAGTTCTGAGTCCAAGAATTTGTTCCGAGTAGGTGAACCGAACGCAGTTCTTTGTCCTTCCGCAAAAAATTGCACTACTAGATACCTCAGGCTTTCTCCAGTTCCACGGTGCAGTCTAGGCAAGAGGGGAGTTCTTGGGTTGCTGCTGTTACGAAACAAATGGGAGTCAGAACTCCTTGCCAATCTACTGCAAATCACCCTAAGACCTTACGGTAGATCGAGATCTACTCTTTATTAAGACTACTAACGAGCTGATCTTGGCCAATCCCTTCTTAGCCACATCCTTGTTTTCCTTTAGGGATGATGCACGACCCGAAGTCCACCTGGATCGCACAAAGCGAGAGCAGCTATTCTGGGAAGTAAGTGGGAGCATTCGCTGTTAATAGGGCGGAGGGATCAGGAAGAGCCTTTCCACAGTCAGTTCGCCTCCCGTCCCACTTGCCCTCTTTACCTGGGATGTTCTTCTGCTCAGGTGCTAAGATGCGTTGCGAAGGTCCAGGTCGTCGCACAGGTTCGGTGCCACATTAAGTGGACCCAGCCGGACTTAAGGCTCTCTCCCCTGGCTGGGGAGGCAGCAGGACTTTTGCAGGGCTCACAGCGCAGCGTGCACGCTCCAGCACCTGACCCAGGAAGCTCAACCTCCAGGCCCTGGAAACAGCCGAGTCCCACCGAAGAAAGCGATGCCTTCCCTCTCAGTACAGAGAGAGACCTCCGCTGGCCACGCAGCGGAATCGCTTGCCTTGAACTGGTATCGCACAGTCGAGAAGTATCCTAGTGCCGCTTTTGGTCCTCTGTATGGAAAGTATTTATTAAGAACATGCATATCTCACTTTTCCAGCAGGATATTGCCAGTATTTTCCTTGCCCAAGGTTAAACATACCCCGCTCCCTCAAGTTTCCCCCACTGCAGGGCTTGTTTTGCATTCCATCCTTCCTCTGGACTGAACCTGTTCCCAGCTTGTTTACATCCTTCTTAAAAAGCAACTCGCAGTAGGCCAGGTGGAGTAAAAAGAACATAAGAATCCTGCTGCATCAGATCAAGAGTGCTTCTCGTTCACTGTTCTTTTCACACACTGCCTACAAGTAGGACAGGAGTGCAATAGTCCGATCAGTGCGGCTAAAATGGAGCTATTACTTCCTGGCTCTTCAAATAATGGCTCTGTTAATGCTGCCTAATATTACATTAACCTCATATGAAGCTGTATTGCATGGTTGCTGGCAAAGCTTTGCAAACATCTCATAGGCTGGCAGCTGGAGAATTTGCTCCATCAGGCAAACCTTAGCCAGGCAAAATGCGGTTGAAATCTCTCAGCTTGTGGGACTGGAGTCTGCAACTTGATTCTCCAACTGTGGAACAGGGGAAGCTTGCAACCATGCAGGGCCTAGCTGGATAGCTACTGCAGGTCTCTCCCTCTTTCAAGCACTGTAGCTGCTGCTCTTCAGGCCAGTGGTGGTGTTAGCAGCTGACCCATTAAGACCAGGGCACTGAAGCTTTTATTTGCAGGCCCAAAGCTCTGGGAGACCACCTGCCCCACCACTTAACCGACTATGGGCACCTGCAAAGATACAGGAGCCCTGATCTTGCATCTGATATCCCTGCCCTGGCTCCTGTTTTGCCTGCATGGTCTTCCTGCTGCCTCCCTTGAACCCTTCTGCTAAGGTTCTTTTCTGAAATCAAATGCCCTCTTCTTCCCTATTCATACATCCCTTTTAAAAAATTGAGGAGTCCCTAGGAGACAGGGTCCTTTAAAGACACACACACAGTGAGACATGTAAATTAACTTAAACAATTTGCATTTTTTTATTTTGGTCCTGATCTTTTTTGCTAACTAGCACAGCCAGTTTCATCCAAAAGTAAGTGTGATACATCAGTGCTGTTCTGTGGCCTGGAAGAGAACCGGCTTCAGGATGGACACCCAGCCAGTGTCAGGGTGTTGGCCTGGCCCAAGTGTCTGGCAAAGTAGCTGCCAGCAGCAGAGGCTGGAGCAGCAGCATTTGGTGGAAGGGGGCACCGTTTTTGGTGTGGCAGAGAAGGTGACAGGAGACAGATTCATTTTGTCACCCTTCTCATTTTGTTGCCTGGGTGTACATCATGGCAGGGCTGTTGTTAAGGCCAGCGAAAAGCTATAAAACATGTGGGAAAAGTAGAAAGGAGGTGGAATTCAGGTGGAGGTGCAGTGGGCAGAGCTACTGTTGGAGCTCTGCAGGTGTGGTAGAGGTCGCCCTGGCAGCTCTAGATTGGCCGCACTTCCTTCCTGTGAAGGGAGCAGTCCAGGTGTACTCTTTGAGCCAGTGGATATGCAGAGAACTTTCTAGCAAGTATATATAGGCTTCAGCAAAAGCAGAACAAATAAGTACCCATGTCTGTTGGCAGCTCTATGCTATCTGCTCATTTATCGAAAGCATTGTAAGGTCTTTAATATATCATATTAAGGTCAATGTTTATCCTCCTAATTTTGTCTTTTTTTTTAAGTAAGTTTTATTAATATTTTTCTACCAACTAACAGAAAGTAACTAAAAACCATCAATCATCAGAAACATCTGACCTACTGGGTCAGCCCCCCATAATTTTTTTTATAGTAATCCATAAGCATATTTAAATCTATGCATAGTCCCGTTTCTCTAGCCAATAATAAAAAGAGTTCCAAGTTTGATAGAAGTTTGTATCCTCTTTCTCCTTCAGAGACAAAGTCAATCTGTCCATTTCTGTCCAATCTGCCAATTATATTGTTTTTATATGGTTAATATGTATTTATTTATTGTTGTGAGCCGCCCCGAGCCTTCAGCATAGAAGCCTGCTAAATAAAAATAAATTTCGGCACAGTCCAAGATCTTTTTTAATATCAGTTTGTCGGTCTCCTAATTTTGTCTTATTTTTCATCTGCCAAAGAGCACAGATAATTCATTTCCCTTTTCATTTATTAAATTTCATGAGGCAGGTAAATAATTTGAAAGATCATGTATATCAGTGAACACTGAAGATTGTTCTGGTACAAATGTATTACTTCAATAACCTCCTCCCAAAAAGCAGCAACTACTGGACTTTGCCAAAATATATGTTTAACAGAAGTATTAGCTGTGTTGCACTGCCAGCAATTAAGTGGATTAGACAGTCTTGAGGTGTCCAATAGACATGAAACAAACTTTTTTGCTGAGTTAGACACAGCCTAAGATTCGGAGATGCAACAAGTAGATGCCAAAGCAGAAATTTGACGTTTTGTGGTGGTGCCCATAGTAGTTCCTCAAATACCCAGTTGTGCCTATGAATCCCCAAAAGTTGGAAATTCCTGCTTTAGAAAGGTAGGTAGTTTTGCTCCACACTGTTCTTTACATGTCAGGGACCTGGATACTGGATCAGTCTGAAATGTTTCAAGCTCACAGTAGAGGCAAAACTGTCTTACTGAAACCATACTGCCATTGCCAGGCAAGAGAAGACCAATAAGAACTAAAGCAACCATACAACACATTGCAGAAAAGAAGAACAAACCATCTGCTAGTAACAGAAGAGCAATGAAAAGGGGTGCAGCCAAGAGGGTTGGTGTCCTTTTGCATGGACACGGCCTGCCTGTGTGTTTGTGTGTGTGTGTGTGGGGGGGGGTTGTAAGGATCCTGAAAAGGAGTGCATTTCTCATATGCTTGCAATGTGAAGAGAGGGACACGTCTATGTATGCATGCATGGGGGGGTGTGGGGGGGGTGGGGGCAGAGAGGCAGACACCATGCATGATGAACTGAGACTGAGAAGTAGCAAAGTAGTGAGGGAGGAGAGAGAAAGCCTGGCAGGTGGAGACCACCCCAGAGTATTCTTCAGCCAGACAGCCATTTTTCCATACAAATATCCCTATGTATGTTCATAGTATAATTTTAATATATTAGTAGACAATATTGTATTGATGCATCTTTTGTATTTTTTCTCTGGAAACAAGGTCTGGATGTAAACAGAACTTCACTTTATTTTTAAACAATTCTATGTTTTTCTCTCCTTTTGCACCCTCCTTTCTTCCTTTTTACTCCCACTGTCTCCCTCTTGTTTGGTCCTGTCTCTACTAGAGCTGTCTGGAAGCAAACATTTTCACAGCTCAGAACCAAGAAGCTGCCTGGACATACCCCTATGCCCTGGCTTCACCACATATAAGCCTCCAAACTCAACTGCTTCTGCGCATCTCATGCATGGAACAAGGTACACCAGTTTCCACCACCATCGCATCTTATGCCAGGTATTTTATCTCAGAAACACTAAAGGTTCCAGAAAACCAGTATACAGAAGAGTATAAAGCACACGATCCAAGATAGTTGAAATATGTAAATTTTGGAGAAATATAATATGGTAGTATTAGATCATTGTTAAGAGTACAAGATATATCAGAGGGGATGCAGCTTGCAACATGAAACAGCTCAGGATCCAAATATCTAAAGGCAAGTCTCCTCTCACAGGTACCAGTGCACACTTAGTTCTTCTTCTAGGTACCCCTGCCAATAAAGCTAGTAGGGTGGCTACAAAAGACACAGCCTTCCCAATAGTGGCACCCGACTTATGGAATAAACTCTCCAAAGAGACTCGCCTGGCACCTACCTTGCTATCTTTTTAGTGTCAGACAAAGATCTTTCTTTTCTCACAGGCATGTTAACAGACCTACAGTGCCTCACAGAAGTATTTGCACATACCTCTCGACTTTTCAATGTTTTGCTGCATGTTTGAAATGGATTTAATTGGCATCATCACTAGCTGATGTATACATGCTAGTCAACACTGCAAAAGTGCCAACTATTTGTAATGGGGCATAAAACTTTAAAAAAAAGAGTACATTCCTTCCCCCAAGTGAATACTTATTAGAAATGCCTTGAATAGTGCTTACAACTGTGAGTCTTACTGGGTAAGTCAATTTCAGCTTTGTGCATCTGGATCCTGCCATGTTAGCCCTTTCTTCCTGGCGAAACAGCTCCAGTTTTCTCAGACTGAATGGGGACTGTTGGCCAACAACACCTTGCAAGTCTTACCACAGAATCTTGGTCAGATCAAGGTTTGTGCTCTGAGTGGGCCATTCCAAGACACTCAGGTTCCTTGCTTTGGAATCACTCGTGTTTGGCTGTGTGTTTAATAACTCTCTCCCCGCAATGCCAGCTAGCTGTGCTGTGGACTAAAGCAGGTTTTCCAACATAATTGCTCAGTATTTGCTTCCCTTCATCTTGCTCTCAGTCCTGATCATCCCAAAACCTGCCTCAGAAAAGCATCCCCACACTCTGATGCTGGTACCACGCTTCACCAGTCGGTATGGTGCTGTGAGGCAATGCACTCTCTCAGCTTTGCACCACGGTTTTTGCAGCAAGGCCAAAAAAAAATCGGTCTCAGCCTGTAGCACACTCTTCAGTGTATTTGCTACATGCCTTTTGGCAAACCCCAAATGCTCTTGGACACAAGTCTGTTTCAGCAATGGTTTTCTGCCACTCTTCACAAAGCCCAGCTTTGTAGAGCATCCAAGTGATCGTTGTCCCATCATCGTTTTCTGCCATCTCAGCTGCAGTTCTCTTCAATCCTGCAGAGTCCTGGCCTCTTGGTTGCTCCTTTAACACCCTCATCTGGTCAGTTTTGGTGAACAGCCTTCTGTAAGCACAGCCACACTAGAAACATATTCTTTCTATTTTGTAATAGTGGATTTAACAGTGATCCAGGGCATGCTTGTACTCTAGGATTTTTTTAAAATAACACAACTCTGAGTAGTGCTTCTGCACAACTTTATCCTGGAATTATTTTGATAGCTCCTTGATCTTCACACTACTGTTTGTTCAGACATGCTGTCCGACAGACTCCAGGCCCCTCCAGAAACAGGTGCATTTAATCTCAAATTATGTGGCACCAAAATTGCACACAGGCGGAATCCACTCAACTACTTATGTGATTCCTGGAGACACCAGAGCTCATATAACACTTATGCAACCAACAAGTGCCAGTTTTTCTTTACTTTAGTGCCACAATAATAAATTGCTCCCTTCATGTTGCTGAGTATCTTGTGTACATCAAATGGTCACAATGACAATTAAATCCATTTCAATTCCAGGTTGTAATACAACCAAAAAATGGCCACATTGAAGGGGGCCAATTATTTCTGTAAGTCACTGCAGCTATAGGTTATTATGGCTGTTTAATCACTTCCTGCACTGTTTACTGTTTTGCATTATATTTTAATATGTTAAACATTTGTTTTGTATTTTATATATTGTAAATGTGCTTCAAAATGGCATTTTAGCTGGTTTAGTGATTTTAATCCCTCCAGATAATTTTATTGGGCAGGTAAGAAATCCAGACAGCATGATGAACAGACAGCACATGAAGGATAAAGCTGTTGGCAGTTCTGGTAAGACTATCTTCAATTCCCTATTTGTTTTAAAACCAATAACCAGAAATGGTAAAACAGCCATCGCTTAAGGTGTTTATTAAGCAAGGCCTGAGCAAACACGTGTGACCACCTATGTTTGACTGTGTTCATGACACCTTCTGGGATGCACTCCCAACCATCACAGCTTGAGGAGAATCAACTTGCCCGCATAAACATTTTATCTGGAATGGGTACATCATAATCTAGACGGAATGGGCTATGTGGAGTCTAATATTGAGGCAGTGGTTACTGCCACTGAATATTGCACAGAGAACATCTGACTTCTAGGGCATTCTTAGCTCTGAACCAGCTCCAAGTGTTAACTTCTGATACTTGGCATCTTCTTCATAACACTGGAAACCCAAGGAGACAGGTTAAAAATGGAGAAGCCATTAACCAAAAATCCCCAACCCCATTTATTTTGTTTCAACAAAATATACAAAGATGCACAAATGAATGCTTCTTACAACTTCATCCTGGAAAACCATTTCATTGCAAAGCATCCAAGGGGAGTCATTTATTTACTTGCCACGTAGTCTTATCAAAGCTGCTACTTCTTACCAGACTTCTTAATTCCACCTCCAGCTGCGAAAGGAAAGAAACCATTCAGTCTTAGGCAAGGAAAAATTAAGCGGTGGAGGCAGAAGCAAAACCTCAGCCAGGGCTTCATAAGGACCATGCACCATACTATTCTCTCCGCCCCATCTATTCCCACAGTGGGATATAGTCAGACAGCAGTCTTCCTCAGCCTGGATCCCTCTAGATCATTTGGACTATAACTTCATTCAGCTCCAGACAGTATAGAAAGGGGTCAGTGGTGATGGGAGTTGTAGTCCAAAATAGCTGAAAGGACCCAACTTGAAGAAGGCTGGCCTAAACAGAATACCTTGGACTGACCAAAAGAAAAACAAGTGGGTCCCAGATCAAAGCAAACCGGGGCTTTGCACAAGAGGCAAACATGATAAAATTGAAACTGTCATATTTTTGGGCACATCAGGAGAAGGCAAAGCTCCCTGGAGAATCATGCTAGTAGAGAAGGCAGAAGCAAAGAAGGACCAAAAATGAGATAGACTGACTCCTTTTGCAAAGCCACAGACCTGGGAAGAGCTGAGCAGGGTCACAGATAGGACATTTTGAAGAGCTTTCATACATAAGTTGGAGATGACTTGACGGGACATAACAATTATTTATAAACTTCACATTAGCTGCTGGATGCACTACAGGAAATCTGTCTTAACATTCATTCATATTTTCTACCTACCCAGGATCTGGCAACCAGAATTCACATACTGATGACCTTAAGACTCAACCACAGTATCACATTCGATGTTGGGCAGTCCATGGTTACTCTCCAAAAGTACTGAAGGTGGACCAACCTTCCTCGGTTACTCTCCACAAGTATCGATGCAGCACCAACCTTCCTCTTTCCCAGGACGGGTAATTGACAGTATATTAAACTAGTACTCCAGCAGCCGCACTTGCTCTTTACTGTCCTCCTGGTTTAGTTCAAGATTTTGAGCTCTAACATTCATTACCTCAGACCCTAAATACCTCAGAAACTGCTTCTGGTTGTTCTGATCTGAAATATAGATGCTTATTCAGTAGTTGCACACCCACACACACACCAGCTATGGAACTCCCTTTCCTACAAGTTTTTCATAATCCAAGACTGCGTATTTGCCAGAATAGCAAAACCATACTCTTTTACTGGACTTACATGACCAGGACTAAATAGGTATGGAATAAACAACAGCTTCACTTAATGCAGTTGGACTAGTCCATAAAACGCATGTCATGACATGTCAGTCAAAGGTGCTGTAAGACTATTGATTTTTCAGCATGCTTCCTGTACCATACTGTCATCTAGAGTCTGGTGGTAAAATTGCAAAAGGCTGTATTCAGCACTTAGTGCTGGAAAATACTTTATTAGCATCAACAAAAATATGCAACCTCTAAAACTTTTTCTTTTTATGGTAATCCATAAACATATTTAAATCTATGCATAGTCCCATTTCTCTAGCCAGTAATAAAAGGAATTCCAAGTTTGATAGAAGTCTGTATCTTCTTTCTCCTTCAGAGACAAAGTCAATCTGTCCATTTCAGCACAGTCCAAGTTTTTTTTTAAAATCTGACCCAGTAGGTCTGACGTTTTTTGATGATTGAGGATTTTTTAGTTTCTTTCTGTTAGTTAGTAGAAAATAACAATTAAACTTATTTTAAAAAAAATATGCAACCTTTCTAGTTTTCTAGAATCCATCAGGCTAGACAGTACAAAAGGTAGGGTCTTGAGCAGGGGTCCTCCAACTTTTTAAACTCACTGTCCCTCAGACTGTTGGGGGGCTGGACTATAGTTTGAAAAAAAATATGAACAAATTCCTTTGCACACTGCACATATCTTATTTGTAGTGCAAAAAAGAAAAAGTACAATATTTAAAATGAAGAACAATTTTAATCAACATAAACTTATTAGTATTTCAATTGGAAGTATGGGCCTTCTTTTGGCTACTGAGATGGTGACACCCCAGAAACGAGTCCTCAGCAACACAATGAGTATAAAACTGATACATTAGGACCATTTCTGCAGAGAACAATCATGCTCTTAGATAGGCTAGGCAATGGTATGGGATGATGTGAGTAGTCAGCCAAAACATCTGGAGGACCTTAAGTCACCCACCCCATTCTAAAGAAAATGAAGCTTATAAAGCACTCCTGTACATGCTCACTCAGAAGTATGTCACACTGCCTTGGGCATAGAATTGCAGTCTTAATGTCTGAAGGATCCAAAAACTAAACCTGGAATTCTTGGAAGCTAGCAAATTCTGTCAGAATCAACCAGCCCAATATGGAATTAGACCATGTTCCAGTTTGTGGACCTATGGCTGCTTTTGCTTCGAAAGAAAAGTGGTTAATTTAGGCACAAATTTTCAAGTGTATATTGTGATGTACAGCTTGGCCTTTGATTCAGCCTTGTGCTCCTTTTCCTAACCCAGCCTGGAGCTGCTCATCTGTCTATGTCCAACAGCCATAATGTTGAAGTTAATTCTTCATTTACACAAGGCTTTTTAAAAAGTGACTTACTAAGTGGACCCTTGCCAGCAGCTTTCGCTTTCAATTCCTCCAACTTCTTCTGCTCCTCCTTCTGTTTTTGCTTGAAAGCTTTGTCTTCCTATTGGAACAAGTATTAGCATCAGTGCAGTCATTTATTAGCAACAGTGTGGTCAAATCAGAATTACAAATATACTATGACAACCAAATTCTATCAAAATAGCCAGGTCTCCCCTTTTTTCCTCTTATTTAAGGAAGAAGTGGCCGACCTTACAAACAGTATCAAGGCAAGAAAACCTGCTGTGTCTGGTGATACCACACATAATATACCCCCCCCCCCACACACACACCCATTAGCAATAGAAGCAGCAACTCTAGGCCCATGATGGCACTGTACCAATCCTAAATTACACAGCTTTGGCACCAAATCCCACCCTTCATGCTATTCCACCCCTTTGCTCAATCATTACCTCATCCAGTTCTTTCAATTGCTTCTTGGGCTGCTTCAAGGGCTTCTTCTTCCCACCTGAAGAAGAAAAGGCAGCAAATTAGAAGGTGGGGAAGACTCTGTGTGTGCGGGGATTAAATTCTCGACTTAAACGCCCGAAACTTCTTGTAACAAAGAGCTTCCCCCGCAATCCCACATTCCCCCACTTGTCCTACCCAACCCATTTTTTCTGGGCGTTTCCCCCGACTCCTTTGCATGTCTAGCAAACACCACGCAGATCCTCGTAGGAGGCATGCCCACGCCCGATTTACGGCCTTTTCGCTTCCCCTCCCCAAATTAAGACCACTCCCAGGGACCTCTTTCACCCTCCCCATACCAAAATCTAAAAAGCCCCCTCGTGCCACCCCTGCGTCCCCCATCGGGCTCTTCACCTTCTCGGCTCGCCATGGCGCTCTCGCGAGTTCCTCCCTGCCCGCAGCTCGCTCTTGCACCAAAAGCCCCCGAAACCGGAGAGGAAGAGGAAGAAGGGCGCCGCGCCAGGGAATCACTTCCGCCCGGATCTGGACGGAGGCGGGAAAGCGACTGTAGAGATAGAAAGACAAAAGCTGGGGTGATTATTCCATTTTTGTCCCACCCAGTACCCGAAGCTTTCTGATGGTTCCCATCAATCAAAGACAGCAAACGGATGCACTAATTATGAGCACATCATTGCAATAACAAACAACTCAGTTCATTTCGCCATTGTTAATGTTATCGTATTTCCAATCAGTTATGGATAAGCAAAATCAATAATTACAACATTTTGTCAATTTTTACTTATCAGTAATGGATAAGCCAGGGCCAAATAGATGATAAAAACCGTTTCTTGTGCACCCTTTCCTAAGCATACAAACTCAGCTACCCAAGAGTAAAAAGTACAGAAAACGGAGACACACAAGGATAAGGCTGATTCAGGATCAGAGATGCAATTGAAGTAGAATCCACAGGGTTAAAGTAACCGGTCTTTTTATCGATAATGACGCTCAAGTTACCTGGCACTCCCCGCCCCTCTCTCAGATTGTTGCCTTGGGTTGCTCTGGCCTAGGTCTCGTCTTTTCTTTGGTAACATCAGTTTATGGTGTCCGTTGGGGGTTAAAATAGAAAACCCGTTATGCCCATAAGGAATACCTCTAACATTTCTATCTCTTGTGTAGGTCACACTCCATCCGATTTCACGGGTTTTTCCCTCTATCTCCCAAAGATTTTCACTGCAGTGTTCTCAAGCACTCACTCGAGCATTACCACTTGGGGCGCAGAAGATGAGGATCGTTTATTTTTATTTTTTTTCGCGCTGTTTGAGTCATGCGTTTTTCCAGTTTCCTAGCTCTATGGAGACGGGTCAATGCCGAGCCAGCGGGACTTCCGCCCGGACTTGGTTTTGCTTTCCGGCTCGGTTTCGCAGCACGTGACTGGGATCAGACGAAGTGAGTGAAAGGGGGTCCGGCGGGTGGGAGCGCAGTTCCAATTTTTTGCGATGCAGGCGGAGGGGGGCGGCAGTACACGTAAGGAGGGATGGAGGGTAGGTGAGCAGTCGTGAAAGGGCGAAGCCGGCACAGCAAGGCACCGGCTGCAGCGAAAGAGATAGCTGCCGGTGTTTCTTAATGCCGGGTGGGAGGCCCCCATTAAAGGGCGGAACATGCTCTTCCCGTTTGCTAGCAGCCTGCAGAATTTTGACTAGCTAATGAATCCCAGTAAAAAGCATCACATGGCCTTCCCTAGCCTGGTGCCTTCCAGATGTGGACCACGAACCGGGTTGCCTGATGATGCTCGAATTTTTAGCCTGGCGCACCTGGAGGGCACCAAATAGGAAAGGATGCATCATGCGTTGCATTAGGCTTTGTTAGGCACACACGGCCAGGCGGTCAGCAACGCGGAATAGCATTTTCTGCTATTGCAAATAGTCAGGGAGGCTTACAGTAACATCAAGTTAGTAATAACAAAAGAAAGATTCCTCTCAATGCCGGTATTATAACGTTCAACCAAAAATCGCATTCCAAAATGAGTGAAATAAAAGCGTGAGCAATAAAATCAGCAATTGAACAATAACATGACTGTGTTAAAGCCAAGCAAGCAGCTGAGGATGGCTGTTTCCAAGCCAGGGGACCACTGCAGAAGAGATCACATCCCCAGGCTGCACTGCATTTTGAATTATTATTATTATTATTATTATTATTATTATAACATTTCTA